AAAAAAAAAAAAAAACCCATCCATTTCTTTCCTAATAGTTCCCTGTGATACAGTGAGGTGGAGCAAGGAGGAAATAGTGGACCAAATAATAGATCTCATATTAGCCACTCGGGACATATTTTATCTAAGGGAAACATGGTTTGTGAATGATAATGTTGCCTCAGCTTGTACGCTTTCCCTTCTACTCTACAGACACTCAGAATCATAGATCTGGAAAGGGCTTCAAAAATCATTTAACATTTTGTCCAATCCCATCATTTTTCAAAAGATATACCAGATGCTCACTGAAATTCAATGACTTGTCCAAAGTTCCATCTTTAGTTAATGTCAGCTCTAGGATTAGAACTCAAGTCTTCTTACTCCCTGTGTCAGGCTCTTGCTACCACATCAAGTAAGCCTTTGTGTTAGAGATGGCAACCATACATCCTGTATTTTCTGCCAATACTAATCCCATCCATATAATTGGTGAGATACATAATTATGTAAATGTGACTTTGTAAGATTTTTAAATGAAGAAATTGACATATTAAAAAAACCCACATTTTAACACATTAAAAAAACATAAGTGAGCTGAAACATATTGAGCTGTAATTAGTTCATACATATAATGAATTCACATGTTTCGTTCCATGAATATGTTATTTAAGAATATAATATCTATTAGTTTGATTTCCTTTAGAATTACATTAGGAAAATAACCCAAACAGAAGGTAATATTTTCTTCTCCACCTAAGTCTTTTTTTTAAAAACAGTTTTTAAGTAGCTTATGGAGAACTTCACTAAAAGAATGATGGCTAGTTTGCACCACACTTTTAACATTTTTGTCACAAAAAAGATTCACAATAAAAACTTGCTGAATAATCAGTTCAATGCAAAGGCATTATAGACGGCCATGAGCTTTAGATTTCGATTTATTGCTCACAATACACTAACTTCTACCAGGAGGTGAGTCTGAAGAACTACTGAAAAGGCCCCACTATATATACCCTGCTTTGTATAAGGGCAGCGACAACAGTGTTAATCAAATGAGTTGTCCACAGGAAACCCCTTATAAGAAGGGCAGTTAAGGGCTTGTGAGGGCAAGACTTGCGGGACTTCTAGAGGTGATGACGATCTAGCAGTCTCACGACCGCTTGGCTACATTCCCTACCCGCTTGGCCGCCACGATCTCAGAGGCCCTGGGATCTCACCGAAATCATCCAGTTCTCCTCACGAAGAGCTGGAAATGGCGGGAAAATACACAGCAAAGCGAGCACCAGCCAGAGGTAAGAGGCTGGAAGTGGCCGCGACGGCTCGTGAGAGGCGTGGGCGCGGCTCGAGCTGGGGGCTGAGTGGGCGGGGCCTGGGGCGTGCGTGAGGCGTGGGCGGAGCCCACGGCCGCGTACTGAGCGGGAAAGTTGGGCTCGCGGGAGCTGGCGAGAGGCAAGGGTGCCCCTTCTTGGTAGTTGAGGAAAAATTACCCCGTTTAAGAATGGGAACAAATGAGACATATGGCCTAATGCCACACAAGTTACTGTGGAAACAAGGTAAGAGTAAACCTAATAATGTTCTTATAGATAATAACACACTAGAAAAATGTGGTCACAGAGCGGATGAAAATTTCAACCAAACATTTTTTAGTGAAGTAAAATAATGGATGTTTTGAAAGAATAGCATAAATCAGGAAAAAAGCTAAAAAGTGATATGGATAGAGAACATATTAAATAAGAACCAACAAATCTCAGAAAAAAAATTTATAACTTTTCAGAAATAAAAGAATGAGAAAGCACAATTAATGGCTGAAAGGAGAATAGTTTTTCTTTAAAAAAAAAAGAAAGAAAGAAAACCAGAGAGCAATGTATTAGAACAAGCATTTAAAACAAAATTTGGAACAAATTTTCCTGAAATAAAATAAGACTTAAGTCTACATATCTAAAGGGCATACCGTATATAGGAGAAAACTGACCCAGAACAGTCAAAACCAAAACATTTTTTTAAAAGATTTTATTTATTTGAGAGAGAGAGCATGAGAGAGAGATCACGAGCTGGGGGGAGGGGTAGAGGGAGAAGCAGGCTTCCTGCTGAGCAGGGAGCCCGATGTGGGGCTCAATCCCAGGACCCTGGGGTCATGACCTGAACCGAAGGCAGATGCTTAACCAGCTGAGCCACCCAGACGCCCAAGACCAAAACATTTTCTGATAAAATGATTGGTCTTAAAGAAAGACCCCTATGAACATACAGACAAAAAGTACTAGTCACTTATAAGGGGAAGAAAAGTATATTGACATCAGACTTCTTTCTCTACAGCAGCACTTTATTCTAGAAGCAATGAGGCAGCATTTTCAAGATTTTCACAAAGAAAATATGATCCAAGAACTTTGTTTCTCCTTACATTGTGTTCGAGTATAAAGACTGCTGACAAAAAAATGTGAACATGAGCTTTCCACTAAGCAGTGGTTCTCAAACTTTTTGGCCTCAGAACTAAATTATTGAAGACCCTCTTCCCAAAAAACCTTTGTTTATGTGGATTGTATCTATCAGTATTAATGGTATTGGCGATTCAAACCAAGACATTTAAAAAATATTAATTCATTTGAAAACAATAGTAATAAGCCCATTAAGTAGTAATATAACCTATGAAAAAGTTATATTTTCCAAAATAAAAACTAGTGAGAAGAGTGGCATTGTTTTACAGTTTTATGATCTCTTACCATCTAACTTTATAGAAAGCAGCTGGGCTTGTGCATCTGCTTCTACATCCATTCTGTTGCAATATGTTGTTTTGGTTGAAATGTGTGAAGAAGATCTGGGCTCACACAAAAATTTAATTAGAAAAGGCAATAGTATTTTAATAGCCTATTCAGGTAATTGTGAAAATTTTTCTTTGACACTCCACCAAGGTTCAAGTGGGAGTTTGTTAAAAGCTAGTTGTGATGTGGGATCTAACACCCTATTAATGAATGTGTAACATCTTATGTTAAACCAAACCAGTCATTTAGAAAATACTGGTTCACTGAGTTATACACATTGACATATTTTATTATACAATAATAAATATTGACACATTTTATTATATAATTTTTAAAAATTATTTTTGCTAATATTACTACCTATTTCATTAGAAAAATCTTTGAATATTGGGAAGTTGTCAGGCTCACAGTTGCAGATACAAGTTTTCCAAAATTCTAATTTTTGTCTGAAAGCTTAAATTTTATCATTGGTAACAAATACTGTCACTGTTTTCCTTGAAGTGACAGCTCATTTTGTTTATTTTTGAGAAAATGTCTACCAAATACCCGTCAGAATAACTATAGTTTGTTAGTTGTTCTTTCAAGTAAAAATGGTGTTCCATAAAATAAGTGATTAGTTCAGCTCACAACTCAAACCATCACATAAATGGCTTTTCTAAATATAATCTTAATTCTACTCAAATATTCTGGGTCATAGAAAAAGGAGACTTTTAAAATTTTCTTATGATCAGGCTCCCTGCTCAGTGGGGAGTCTGCTTCTCTCTCTCAAATAAATAAATAAATAAAATCTTTTAAAAAAATAAATACATTTTTTATGAAATGAACTTAACATTGATAGCAAAAAATGAAAAAGATTGCATACACACATAAAACAACAGAACTGTCTTACTTGAGAATATGGATACAAAGATCTTTAAATAAGATATTAGCAAATAGAATCCAACAACACATTTCAAAAAGTATACATTATGACCAAGTGATGTTCATTACAGGAATGAAATAATGGTTCCATATTAGGAAATCCATGAATGTAATTTATTTATTTATTTATTTATTTTTAAAGATTTTATTTATTTGACAGAGAGAGACATAGAGAGAGAGGGAACACAAGCAGGGGGAGTGGGAGAGGGAGAAGCAGGCTTCCCGCCGAGCAGGGAGCCCGATGCGGGGCTCGATCCCAGGACCCTGGGATCATGACCTGAGCTGAAGGCAGACACTTAACGACTGAGCCACCCAGGTGCCCCCATGAATGTAATTTATAATAATATTTCTAATAAGAAATATCACAATCATCTCCACGGTTGCCATAATGCCGTAACATTTGTCATAATTCACATCCATTTCTGATTTAAAAGCTCATTGAAGTAGAAATCAGTGGATGTTTCCTTAACATGGTTAAAAAATGTGTGTGTGTGTATGTGCATGTGTGTGCATACATATGTGCACAAAAGCCAGAGTCTTTTTTTTTTTAAGATTTTATTTATTTATTTGACAGAGAGAGACACAGCAAGAGAGGGAACACAAGCAGGGGGAGTGGGAGAGAGAGAAGCAGACTTCCCGCTGAGCAGGGAGCCCGGTGCGGGGCTCGATCCCAGGACCCTGGGATCATGACCTGAGCCGAAGGCAGACGCTTAACGACTGAGCCACTC